AAATGTCACGACCCGATTTATCCACCCTCGGGAGTTGTGATAGCACCTACTAGTGAAAGCTAGACAAGCCAACCAACTGAATTATTTACCTTGTTTTCATTCCAAATCCGTTAACAATTAAGAACTAACAGTTAATAATCAACAAAATTTAATAAGCGAAAGATTTAATTTCAAGTTTTAACAACACTGCTAGTACCATTCCATAACAAATCTACCCAAGACTGGTGTCACAACTTCACATACTGTCTAAGAGTACTACAATTAAAGGTCTGAAAGAAATAATACAACACTGTCTCTGGGAATACAAAAGAAACAGGAATACTAGATGGAAGGAGACACCAAGGCCTGCGGACACCTACAGGACTATCTCGAGTCGCCTGACGAACGCGAAGCAGCAATCTCACTGCGGTCCAAAGTCTACAACACTGGGATCTGCACAAAAAAGTGCAGAGTGTAGTATCATCATAACCGACCCCATGTGCTGGTAAGTGCCTAGCCTAACCTCCGCGAAGTAGTGATGAGTCTAGGACCAGACAACCAAATAAACCTGTACAGTTAAATCATATACAGCGAAAAAGAAGAACAGTAATGTACAGTTAAGTATGGGAGGGGGGTAACATGCTGCAGGGACATCGAATAATAACAGAAGAACAACAAATAAATATGAGGATCACCGCAGTTCAATTAAAAATAGAAAGGGGGAATCATGTTGCGGGGTACAACAAGTATCAACAGGAAACCAACAATTAAATGTAGAGAAACTATAACTCAATCATCAATGAAAATCAGGAAATCAAAGACAAGTGCACGGCATCACCCTTCGTGCTTTAACACTCTCTCACCAAAACAATACACGGCATCACCCTTCGTGCTTTAACACTTTCTCACCAAAACAATACACGGCATCACCCTTCGTGCTTTACACTCTTCCTCACCCAAGCAACAATCACAAGGCAAATAGAATAAGGAAATCTATAACATCGAAATAAAATCAAGTAACAACAGAAAATCAGTAAATAAACGTAAAGGACAACATAACTAAATTATCAGCAAAATCAGGAAAATCAAGGACAAGTGCATGGCATCACCCTTCGTGCTTTTACTCTCGTCCTCACCATAAGAATCAATATAAACTGCACATCATCACCCTTTGTGCTTTTACTCTCATCCTCATCATAAAATCAATATAATCGGCACGTAATTGTACATCGTGCGGCACGGAATTGTACATCGTGCGGCACGACATCACCCTTCGTGCTTTACACTCTTCCTCACAAAATCATACACGGCATCACCCTTCGTTCTTTAACACTCTTCCTCACCCAAACAACAATCACAAGAAATAAGGGCAAGGAAATAATGAAATCACAATAAAATCCCGGCAAGGGAACAATAGTATAACAATCAAATCCCGGCAAGGGAAATAATATCAAAACAATAACATCCCGGCAAGGAAAACAATATCATGATTCTCTCTCTCCTTTCTTCTTTCACATTTACTTCACAACTCAATTCACAACTTGAGCCAATGCTCTATAATGTTCAACAATTCTATTCTTAACTAGAGTCAATGCTCTACAATGTTCAACAAGTCAATTCTCAACTTGAGCCAATGCTCTACAATGTTCCACAATTCAATTCTCAACTTGAGCCAACGCTTTACCATGTTCAACAATTAAATTCTCAAATTGAGCCAACGTTCTACCATGTTCAATTAACAATAATACTTCCACAAGTCATATTCCTCAATAGAAATTATCATATAGAGCATGAACAATACAAAACGGAGTCACATTAATCATGTGTATAAGACTCACGGGCATGCTTGACACTAACGTATAGATACTTGTCACCATGCCTATACGTCGTACTCAACAAATAACTCATAGAAAATAGGACACAACTCCTAATCCCTCAAGCTAAGATTAGACCAAACACTTACCTCGATACCACAGACACAATTCAAGCCTCAACTATCGCTTTACCTCTTGATTCCATCACCAACTCGCTCGTATCTAGCCACAAGTTACTTAATTACATCAATAAATGCTAATTGAATCAATTCTAATGCATGAAAATAAGTTTTCTAAAATTTTCCCCAAAAGTCAAAAATTACCCCCCGGCCCGCATGGTCAAAACCCGAGGTTCGAACCAAAACCCGATTACTCATTCACCCACGAACCCAAATATATAATTTGTTTTGAAATCGGACCTCAAATTGAGGTCCAAATCCCCAAAATTTTAAGAACCTAGGTTCTACCGAAAACACCCAATTTTCCCCATGAAAATCATTGATTTTGAGTTGAAATCATATTAAAAGATGTTAAGGAGTGAAGAAAATGAGTTAGAAATTACTTACCAACGTCTTGGAGAAGAAAGGTTGTTTGAAAAATCGCCTCTTATGTTTTTGGGGTTTTGAAAAATGAAAAATAACTGAAAATCCCGTCTAAATATACTACTCTCAGATGCCCTGTGCAGACCGCACAAAATCAACTGCGGCCACATAGCCCTTCCTGTGTACTGCAGTGATATGCTTTAGTATTTTGGCCATAACTTTCTCTACATATGTCCAAATTGTGATTTATTTACCTTTCTAGAAACTAGACACGAAGGGATACAACTTTCTTTTTTGAACCATCTCAAAATTCCTTGTAGATCAAAAGATATAGGCTTCCGAAGTCGGACCAGTGAACCTGCGCGGACCGCACAAAATCAACTGCTCCCGCACAGTCACTGGTGCAGACAGCACAAAACCAGTGCGGACCGCACTAGCAGGTTCAGAGATTTGCACTTCTCTGAACCTCCAATAGCCATGTTTTAAGCCTAAGACACCCCGGAACCTACCCAAAACTCACCCGAGCTCTCGGGACTCCAAACCAAACGTGCATACTAACTCAAAAACATCATATGGACCTACTTGTGTGATCACATCATCAAAATAACATGTAAAATCATGAATTAAATCTCAAAACTCAACATATTCATCAAGAACTCTCAAAGTTCACAACTCTTCAATCGGAAGTCCAACTCACGTCAAATAAACTCCGTTTTTCACGAAATTTCACAGTTATCTTTCAAATATTATAACAAGTTTATACCGGGCTCTGGAACTAAAATATGGGCCCGATAACAATGGTTTCAAACATTAATTCTTTTTTTCATTTCTTAGATAATTCAGTAAAATAATTTCTTTGAAAATTTGATTTCTAAGGCTTGGGACCTCGGAATTCATTTCCGAGCATGTGCCCAAGTCCCATAGTATTCTGCGGACCTCCCGGGATCGTCGGAACATGGATCCGGGTTCGTTTGCTCAAAATGTTAACCAAAGTCAACCATAATCAAATTTTAACTCTAAAAATTTCTATTTCTCATATTTTCACGTAGAAGGCTTTCCGGATATAGGTCCGGACCATGCACGTAAATCAAGGTGAGGTAAAAGGGGGGCTTTTAGGCCTCGGAACACTAAATTATTTCTACAACAAGTGATGACCTTTTGGGTCATCACATTAAAATAAAGAACATAAAAGAAAGAAAGATATATGATAGACTAGTAATTGAAAAAATAGACTATACAGTCAAAAAAGAAATAGTATAAAATTAACAATGCTTGAACTTAAATTTCTGGATTCCTGCTTAATTTAATTGGATTACTGCTTCCCACCCATATATAGAAATCTAGTCTAGAATGGAAAGTGTCTTATCACATAATAAGAATGAAAGAGAAAGAGACCAGGCTACGGTGTGGAAGAATTTTGAAAAAAGGAAAGTTGTTATTATTATCATTATTATTTGTTTAACACATTTTATTAGAGACGAGAGTACTATGAATTGACAAAAACTAATAATCGCCCCATATTACTCTCTTAAAGCTAATTATCATGAAGCTAAGGGGCGTGATGATATGAATTAGATTTCTTCACGAATTAGAAGTATCAGGTTTGAACTTAAAAATAGTAAATTTTTTGATAGGAAACGCTTCACCCATAGTGGACCTATCATATCAATACCCGGCATGAATCCGATCTAGTCTGGCCAATCGATTCCAACACCTAAAAAATAGGAAGAGTAGCAATCCAGACCTTCTGCACTCAACAAAGAAAGTAGTTTATGACAATCGACACAAGTTAATCAGGCCACAGTAAAATAGCGCAGCAATCTTTTAATTCACTTATGTACTCTAAGGTAATCAGCGGTTTGTTTTCTTTTTGTTTGTTTAAACAGTACTTGCGAATTTAATTTAAGTACTATTAATTATATAAGTTTCTGCAGATTTCCCGTCCATAATTTAAAGGAAAACAAAGTAAAACTGGCATCACTAGTATATATGAAACTATTTTTCACATGCATTAATTATATTTTATGCGTGAAATATCATCAACATTTCTAATCTCATACACAGGAATATAATCCTACTTATGGACTACTCTTCTTGTTACTGCTCCCCTCGAAGAAACACTCTTTTTTCTGTAGAGTTGGCTCCCATTTTAAAGAGAACCAACACAAATAAATTATTGGAGTTCCTAAGTTTCTCCCACTGGGGGTCTAACGATATTTGGATATTTTACCTATCAGCTTTATGTTTGACCCTTGAGGCCTTTGGTTCAATTAACTTAGTCATTTGTTTTAGATCTTCATTTATATAATTAATTAATTGTAATATGGTATGTTAATTATCATTTCATTGAGATGCTGATACAGGGAAAAAAAGGGGG